CTACATGGTGGCTGTGCCTGTCATGCGATGTGCCACTGCATACCCCACCCCTAATAAATTAATACCAGGATGTGTGTCGCTGCTGCTTCTCCTTCAGGCACAAAAACAACTTCAGGTGCCTGGGAACTCAGCCAGGGTCAGCATTGGTTGGGGAAAACAGCTGACCAACAATGAGCTGAGTGCCATATTACTGGCTCCGTTGGCAATTTTGCTTTCCCCCTCCTGCCCCCCCTACTCTCACTGATTCCTTTTAAATAAAAGTGAAGTCATTGAGGCAGATCACACATGAATGCTCTAGGAATGTAAGAAATCTAGCACAACTCTGGCTTAGTTTTTCAGTGGTACTGAGTCTTGACAGCTGTGAGTTACTTAAGTGAGAGTCTGGCTTCCTACGAGTGTGAAATTAGTGTTCCCTTTGCTCATAATGTACTTGCCAGGACAGCAGAACAAGAGCGTTCTCCAGCAGAGGAAGGGGGACAGGAACAGGATCTGAGTGCTTCCCCATTGCCTCCTCCTCAATCCCTCCAGAAGCCAGCCCCTAGCACCACACCTGAACTATTGCAGCTGCACTGCAGGCAGCATGGGACATGCTGTGAACTGCTCTGAAAGATCTTGCAATTATATTTATGCGTCCCAGGGGTCAGTGGAATTTTTAGAGCTTTGGACTGAAAAGACTTAACAGGTGTCAAATTTAATGTCAGCACACTGTTCCTCACAAACCAAATGAGGCATCCTCTTCAAAGTCTCCTACTGAATTTGACAGTTCATATTATTAAAGCCCCTGTCGTTACTTTGTAAGAAAAATGAGATAGAGAAAGCTAATGTGCTGCATGAAGGCTGCTGGTGTTCAGAAGGTGAAGCCTTAGTAACAAAGACAAGGGGACAACAGTCTACTCACAGACATCAACTGGCTGCCTAATAGCACGGCCAGGTGCAGTTGTTAAGATCTGACACATGAATGAAGTCATAAGAATACTACAAGTCCCTCACTTAAACATTAGCTACAGCATTCTCTACACTACTAGCACTACAGTCACACACTGTTCTTTGGATAAACCTGAAGAATCTGTTTTCAGAGGCAGCAATAAGTAGAAGGGTCACAGCAACTGCATGGGACCCTGGAGGGCCACCTCCCCATCCCAAGATATTAAAAGGGCAGCTTCACTCTGCAGTCAGACTGCTTGCTGTGACTCACATTGTAGTTATGGCCTAGAAGAGACCTTCTGCACATGGAAAAGAAAGGTCTGAAAGATCAGTTTCCTTGCAGTGCTTTCAGGCAGACACCTTTATGTTATACTAAGCCATACCAACAAAAAGGCTTTTTTAAAGTATATTCATACTGCATCTTGAATGCATAACTTTACTCATCAGAAATGGTTTGTACTCCCCTAAAATGTTAGATTTTATTCAGGATAGAGGGAATAACCCTATACAGATTTTTCATCAAGCTTGAATTTGTAATTAAAATTCTGAGTTTAAATTCCATTAGTTCAAATATGTGGCAGCACCCTCTTCTCTCTAAAGATTAGAGGCATCACTTCACACCTGTAAAATTACAAACAAGCGTACTGTCATCACCATGCTCCAGGCACTGCAGCCTCTATGCTTGCATCTGTCAGTCCCCCAGAGGATGACATAGAAGACATCCCAAACATATCATATGTTTGGAAATCCCAAACGTCTAAGCCTCACCACAGTGCTATCATGACAGCAACTCATGCCCTGCAGCCTGTGAGAGAAGGGGAGAGTATTGACACATCTCTATATCTCTTTTCCTGTTTCTCCGGGAATGGCCTGAATCTTCAGAAAAGGTATTTAAAAGTCTTAAACTCATGCTCATGCTTCCTGTTCTGAGATCAAAATCTCCTGTAATCTTGCTAGACCATCTACAGCTACACCCTAGGGATTTAACTCTATGCAGCTTATGGGTTTATATGAAATTTCATAAAAGAGAAGCCCTGCATTTTCACATAAATATATTTATTTGGGGAAAGATTGAGAAATGCCAATATATTTCAAACCAGTTCCCTACTGCATTAAAGAATGTGAAATATTCATGTGAACATTTGCTAATCCCACCCAGTGAAATCTATTTCCCTTTCTATTTAGCATGCAGGCTGCATCAGCTGGAGGTTGTTCAGTCTTTTCATTAGGAAGAAAAGCAAGGATGATTTGTGAAAACCACATGGAAGTAATCATAAGGAACAGTAATGAAGATGTTTTAGAAAAAAAAAAAAAAGAGACACCCTTGTAAGCTACCTTGTAAGCATGCTTTCTCTTCCACGTTTTTGTTTCTCATACAGTGTTTCGCAGATTCAAACTGTAAATTTATATTTATGGACATAATTAGAAATGCAATATAATAACCTCTTATAATACAGAAATAAAGATATAAAGGCAGCACAGACATCTGCAGAGCATACATCTCAGGCTCTCTAAATTCTTCAGTAGGCAGTTTAACTCCAAGCAAATTCCAGTTTCTCTGTTCAGCTATTAGTCTTGATAATGCAATGAGTTATTTTCTCAGCAGTCTTAAGTTTAGCATAGCTGTCCAGACCCTCAGGTGGCCAGAGATCTCACAAATTATCACTTTCTTCAACCACCTGAACTCTCAGAACTACAGCAGGAATCTGAAAATGAGGAAGTCAGAGTGCCTACGATCCCCAATTCCACCAGGAAAAATCATCCAACCTCGGGAATTCATTTATGTCCCCTTATGTCGTATATTTCATAAGAATTTAATGGAAATGGCATTTAGTTTCCATGGAGAGATGGTAATATTTAAATATTGCTTCGAAGATCCTTGGATAAAAAGAGCTATATATGTGCAATTTTTTTTGCTCTTTCTGCTTTCCTACACCTCCAAAATATAATACAGTGAAATTTTGTTATGAAATAAAGTTATACTTGAGAACGTCATGCCTGCACAGACTAATGATCCAGAAGTTCCTAAAAGCATCGGAAACTGTAAGCCAGTCTATCCAGGTGTTGAGTACTGCAGTGCAGAAGATCATCTTTTACCAGAAACGACCATTTCCCCAGTGTACTGAGACCTACAGTAACTCTACAAATGATGTCAGAAATCATTCCTAGGGGGCAGTTTGGTTATATCCACCTTGACTAGCAGAGCAAAGGTGAGGAGGACAAGGAAACCTCACCTGTCTGGGTATGAGCCAAGCCATGCTAGTTGGCAAGTCCACTGTATTTATCAGTAAATCAGAAAATTTGAAGATGGGTCCTCTGAAGAATATGACTAAACACCTTGACTAGCACCTGAGAACTCTAGCAGCTGGAAGACTACAAGAATAAATTTTGCAACTTTGTTTTGCCTGGAAAACCTGAATACAACAGACGTTTAATAGACTCAGCCTGGTCATGGTCAGAATATTAAAATATTCAGTAGATAATTGCCTCTAATGCTAATTATAATACATACAGCAAATACATGTCATTGAATTAAACTTATTGTTGATCTAGTGATTTGCTGTATTATATGACTTCCCACATCAGCAAAAAAAAAAAAAAAAAAATAATCAGCCAAATCATTCCCAAAATAGAACAGAATTTAAAGAATTTAAGCTTCCCCTGTTCACGCAGTGTGTGTGAGCAGACTGATTTCTCTGAATCTTCATACTGTTACACACTGATTACCTCTTCCTGTTCTATGGAAGGCAGATTGAAGGCAAAGGCAAGAGCTTGACAGAATCACATCAGTATGACGCAGGGGTCCAACAATACTAATTCCATCATAGCAACTGTAAAATTTTGTTACATACATCTAGTGCAAACGAATATAAACTGGGTTAAAAGAATAGGTCCAAAATGAAAAATGATCATGAGATTAGCCCACAACTTCTCCTAATAGTTAGAGCACAGAAATTTTTTTTCTAAAAGAAGTCTGGTCATTTTCTACATTTCACACATATCCTAATACTGCATCCAGTTCTGGAGCCACCAACACAAGAAGGACATGGAGCTGGGGGATCAGGTCCAGAGGAGGGCCACAGAGGTGATCAGAAAGCTGGAGCACCTCCCCTGTGAGGACAGGCTGAGAATTGGAGGCTCTTTAACCATGAAGAACAAAAGACTCTAGGGGGACCTTATAGAGACCTTCCAGTACCTGAAGGGGACCAACAGGAAAGCTGGGGAGGGACTTTTCAGAAGGGCAGGTAGGGACAGGATGAGGAAAAAGTATTTTAAACTGCAAGAGGGTAGATTTAGACTAGAAATCAGGAAATTCTTTACAGTGAGGGTGGTGAGACACTGGAACAGGTTTCCCAGTGAGGTTGTAGATGCCCCTTCCCCTGGAAGCAGTCAAGGCCAGGCAGGATGGGGCTTTGAGCAACCTGGTCTATGGGAGGTGTCCCTGCCTGTAGCAGGGAGGTTGGAAATAGATTATCTTTAAGATCCTTTTGAACCCAAAGCATTCCACGATTCAGGAAGCAATAATGGAATGAAGCATGAACACTGCAAAGGCACAATACATACAATTAAGTATTTTGGAATCTAGTAGCAACACAATATGTATAGAGATCTCTTTTTTGTAGCCAAAGACACATTAGTACTGAGATCAGCATCTAAGCTTCTGGGTTCTAACGCAGGTCTTTTCACTGAAGTATCAGATGTATCTGTTCATCCCTTTCAGTTTTCCATTAGCACCCAAGTTTACCTTATTCTCCTTAAGAAAAGGCTTTTATATTAGGAACAGTTATTGTTCATCTAAAACAAATGCATCAACTCTTTTCTCATTTTCCAGCTGATGAAGTTTAGCCTATCTCATTAATGCTTTCCAAGAGAAACAAGAGCAACCCAAATAAAAGCAATATGAAGTATATTTATGGAAGTTTATAGGAAAGTGAACAATCTTGTATCTCTGAAAAAGGGAATGTCTATGCTGTGAAGACAAAATCCTTTCCTGTCACAGAAAAATTAAATTAAAAGAAAGGTCAGTAGTTCAGAAAGACCTTCTCTTAGGACCTGTTTCTCCTCTAAGCCCTTACCTTTGTGAGAAGACATCTCGGTAGGGGCTGCCATGCTGCAGTGCAATTCCATATCCTCTGTCCGCCACAGTGTTCCCAACCGTGTAAAAAGAGCAGTCTCCATCATTGATAGCCACATATTCCAGCACTGCTGCATCCCATACAAAGGCATAGTTCCCATGTTTCACCTGCAGTAAACAATGCAAAATATTAGATGATGGGCTGCCAAGTCCAAAAGGAGGCCAATGCACAGGTAAAATGGTTGCAGCTTCGGCACAGTCTGCCATTTAAAGAGACTGACGTTTGAGTGCCTAACAGTTGTCAAAACAAAAAAATGCACCAAGACTGGTACCATGTGGTGCTTTGGTTGAGCAGCTCAGCAAAAATGGAAGAAACACGATTAGAGAGCAACATGCTATCAATGAAATAGTACCGTGCAGGAAACTTTTACTTTCCTTACTCAGGGAACAAGAGGAAACATCAGGCTTCCTCCATCAGCATCACATTCCACCCCAAATCTTGGACCGAGATTTTTCCTTTGAACCATTAAAACAACCACTTAGAGGGAACACAGGTATTTGCACTGGGTAAAGTATGGGAGGGTATGCGTGGGTATCCAGATGGAAGAGCACAGTTCAGGATGGTGCACATTTCAGTTATGTTTCAAGATGCTGTAGATGGCATGAGCACTCATTTGTCTTTTGGACTGTGTGCATGATTGTGGGCAAGATAACATCAATAAAGTTTTTTTTTCCTGTTTTTATTTTCCTCCTCTCACAGCTAGAGCCAACACAAAGGATTTTACATATCTCCAAACAATTTTGTACAGCAAGAACATGTTTGGAATTTATCTTAAACAGAATGACTTACAACTCCTTATCTCCCTAAGCTTTTGGAATAATATTTTAATAACCACGATGTTTGAGACAAATCTTTTTTTTTTTTAAACTAATATATGGAATGTATACAAAATTTTAGAACATATTCAGAAAAAAGCTTTCAAAAACAGACATGCTGTCTAAACAAACCCTTCCCTATTTCAATAAATTTTCACTTTCCAGTCAAAACAGTTCTTTCTAAAAAGCCCACTCCTCTATATCCTGTTCCAGATCATTTACCAGTTTCCTGCTTCGCTGGTCTCTACATTAGAGCTGAAGAATTACTTTGCTTTCCTCCTGCCCGTCTGCTTGGCTTCACTCAGTGTTTTCCCCATGCCATCTTAGCCAGCTATACTGTAAAACTAGGCTGAACCCATTGACTTTGTACATCTAATGGGAATAAATATGTGACAGCTAAGTGAAAAGTAAACAAAATACAAAAACGCCGTCTGGGGCCAAGCAATCCAAAGAGAATTCAAAACCAAGTCAGCATATCAAGATAAGCAATGTCAGTACATCATTTAGATTAGGCTTTGACAGTGTAGATTATGTTTTTAAAGACTGTTTACACATAAAAGTTACTGAAGCAAGCCAAACTGGCTGCTTGCTCACAAGATGTAGTGCACAAGAAACTATTGCATTTGGGACACATTCCTTCTCATGCATGATCAATCTGAATTAGACACTGCAGGCCCAGGAAGGGAACACTTCCTTTTTGCATTTGTAGACATGGTAGTGGGGGTACACAAGTAAATACCAGAGCAGAAAGGAAGCTGTATTATCTGTGGGCTCTGAATGATTGGCAGGATGTTAAGAATTATTTTCAAAATGCATATACATGCATGAATGCAGGACAGAACACTTTCTATTTGCATTCTCTGAAAATGGTCAAAAATGCTTTTTTGTCTCTCACTAGAGGTTTAAGTCTAAGTCTATCTAAATAGCCAGGGAATAAAGGATACAAATGAACTCACTGTTAACAATACAACTTGCATTCTTATCCTCGAGGCATCACAATTTACAAAGCGTCTACTAGCTCAATTTTGTGCCAATGTATTTACTCTGTACTTATTCTTCCTAAACACACTATTTAGCTAAGAAATAGAGTGACTGAGAAAAAAAGTGCTTTCGGGGAGTATTAGAAAGGATAATTACTTGGCCTGGAAGGCCAAAGAATCATGGTGAACAGGCAGCAAGAGAGGAGAGGAGGAGGCAAGAGCAGAGAGGATCAGAATGGCGTAAATAGATCCTAAAAAGGATCAGATGAACTTTCCAACAAAAACAACACACACAAAAAAGAAAGAAATAAAAGAGGGGTTCAAGTAGACAAGTGGTTTTACATAAAGGAAGTAACCTTTGGGGCTCTTTTTTGAAGGCAATGTTAGATCACGCTTTGGTCCTACCTCACCCTTTTAACACCCTGTGGCAGTGAATTCATGCAAGTGCTTATAAAGAAACTTATAAAGAAACTGCTCAGGTGGTCACGAAAAATTCTCTTGATTTGGATGCCTTTCTGTAAAACAACTCACAGTGAGAATATATAAAAGTGGTAAAAGCACTTACTGTCAATAATACCTGTGATGAAGTGGTGTATATAACATCCTTAGAGCGGATCTAATAATATCACTGTTCAGGGTCCTGCAAAGACTTTATTTCTCACTGATAAGATCACAGTGAGTCTTGGTTAATGCGCAGAAGGCAGGAAAGGGAGATTGAAGGGCCAGATGGCATCATCCCAATCATCAACCTTCAACACACGATTGCTTCATGCAGTAAAATACACTCCTAGAATTTCTGTCCTATTAATTTACAAATCTATGGAATTCAAACCCAGGCAGTAAATCTGAGTTGAAATTGTTGTGCTTACAATTGCTCTCTTTATGGAACTGTCCCTGAGGCTAACAGATTTTATTGCTATTCCATACATTTAGTTTTACTATATATATATATTTTTTTTAATAACATTTTTTGGTCATTCTGAGTTATTTGCCCTTGTATAATTCAAAATACTCAATTTTGGGGCTGACAGTTTTCAATTATCAATCAGCTTTTCTGTTACTTAGTTCAGCTGAATGATACTAATTGAGCTTTCTTTCATCTTCTCTTGCAAATCTATTATTTCAGTCCTCCCATTACCAGTAACACTACTTTTGAACTCTCTCCAAATTGCATTTTTTGGTATGAGAATAAAAATTCGTCTTGCTAAGAATCAGGATGATCAGCTCAGGAGGAATTTAATTCCATTTTTAACATATATTTCTGGAGATTCACAGATCAACTGTCTGTCCATGGATATTTCACATAGACTCAGACTTGTTTTAGTGTAAGATCATAGAATAATAGAATATCCGGAAGTGGAAAGGACCCAGAAGGACCACTGACTACAAATCCTGGCTTCACACAGGACTGCTCAAAATTCAAACCAAAGATCTAAGAATAAAGTTTTGCTGGAGTAAAGCACATCCTGATAGTTTTCAGATTTGCACCTACAGAGAATGGGTAGCTATAGAAGAAAGCCACAATGCTTAAGGAGAAGGGAACTTCAGAACAAAAAGTCAATTATATTGACTTTTATGTACTTCCCTCCTGATGTTCATGAAAAGCACAATTTTTTTTTTTAGCTTTGCAATAACCGTGCTCCACTTCTGCCCTCAAAATGAATAGCAAAAGTTCCAGCTCTGCATAATGGAAAAAATAAAAATTAAGGAGCTTACAGTCAGCCAATTATGGGGGCTAGACAAAAGAATAAATAGCGTTTTGTAACGGGTGCAGATCTCCATCCCTTGTTCTTCACTTCCACACCATTATGTTGTTGTTTTGAATTAAGATAAAGACATTTTAGGATGGTGGCAAATCTGAATGCAGCTCACACATGATTCCCCAGTGCAGGGTAGCCATGGAGGCATTTGTATATGGGTGGCATATTCCCATTCAACAGCAGCCCAAGCCTTGCAGCCTGCTAGTACATGGAAAACCAACACTGCCCTTCCCATAGCAATATGCCTGTCAGCATGGCTTGGGCTCAAAAGATTTTGGAATATCTGTTGACTATTGCAACAAAAACAAAAATAAGAAAATTGTTCATAAAGGTATTTTGAACTCATGCACTGAGCTGGTCATTAGGCAAAGCCTGCAAGGTTGGATGGTACCAGGCAAAATGCTTGACTTCACTTCTAGCTTTGTGAGCAATTTCAAGGGAGTTACTGGAGAGAGAACTGTTACAAAGAATAGGAGCCATCAGCACGTAGATGGCAAAATTATTTATCTAAGACTATTCCATTTCTATGTTCCATCACTGCACATTTACAATGTTTTTATTTGAAGTCCTGCCTGTAGATATTAGCAGAAATTTATCCTTGACGATTCCACCAAGAACCAGTAACTCATTACACAAGCATTTCAAGCCATTATGCTGTTGCATATCCACATATTTTATACCAACGCTGATGTGGGTAGTATTTCTTCTCACAGCTAACCTTTTCATGCAGAGTAGGCTGAATAACATATCTGTGTACTACGCCAGCATTGCAAATTTCAGGAAAAATAATTTTTTATTAAAAAGCAACCAATGACTGCAATTTTTCAGACCTAAATTCTTCAGTAATCTCTCTTCTACATTTTCAAATCCCCTTTAAATTAAATAAGAGAGAAGAAATTCTCACAAAGGTAAAAAAATATAAAAGAAAGAGAAAGACAAACAGAATTGGCACTTATTTTTCATATCGATCTCTTAAATGTTTCATTATACTTAAAATGTGTTACTTTCTATAAAAAGAAAAAATTGAAGCCTGAGAAATCTTAAGATTCAACTTATTAAAACTGTATTGCCAGAAAGTGATAGGACAACGCTGATTGGGCCTATTTTCTGAGTACGCTGTTCCTACAAAGCAGTGATGCTACTCCCGTGCAGCTTCATTGTAAGGCAGGCACCTAAGGCATATCTTTCCTCTCCGTGCACTATTCTCTGCCTATAAAGTTGTTAGGTGCCCTTCAGCCAAGAATACATGAACAGCAGCAGATTTGTCACCTGCATAGCAGCAGCAGCTCCAGCTCTAACCTAATAACAATCAAGGACACTGATTCATCACCCACTCCTTGAGCAGCACTCTCTCTGTGTTCTCTTTCTGTTCTCTTCTGTTGACCATTCCACTACACAGGGGAACCACAACACCAGATGCTGCTCGTCCTATGCGTAGCAATGTGGACTTGAGACATTGGCATATATAAATAATATATTTTCTGACAATTTTTACATGTTCCTTTATGTAAGTGGTAGCTGCAGACTGCAGAGGGCTGTGCTTCATTCTACA